AGCAGAAAACTCGAGGCTGTCGCCGAATGCTGCGGATTTAAACGGGTTGGCCCGCCGCCTGGAGGTCAGAACAGAACTTCCATGGAACAACTGACTGTTAAGGAGAAGAAGGCTGCATTCAAGAAATGGCTTGGAAACAGTCTTCTACTCGCGTGCGATATGTTGAAGCACTCGAGGGGACAGCGAAAGCTGTCGCGAAAGCCAAAGTTGATTCCTCGAAGAAGTTCGTTCTGATGTTGGAATCGAATTTCCACACGGCAGTCGAGGTATTGTGACAGACCGTTCGCCGGCTTTGAAGTGAAAAGAAGGGCAGTCGAATAGTCTTGAAGAACAGGACTGGACACCCTCTTACCGAGGATAGAGACATTCTTAGGCGATCGAGAGAGTACTTTGGGAAACTCCTTAACTCCGAACAATCGCAGGAAAATTCGCCTGTAGCGCATCAGGGAACTGAAGTTACTCTCTGTGTAGATGAAACTACACAAGCTGTGAAAGGTTTTAAAAACGGTATCTACTTGAATTGATGAAATCCACCATGAAATGCTCGAGGCTCTAATCGAACAAAACATGTGCTGTTTGACATGCGTCTATCAAACTGTAATTACTACGGGAAACAGACAAGCGTACTAGAAGACGGAACTTTTTGTACCCCTATTCAAGAAGGGAGACCACAGGGAGTGCTCCAGTTATAGTGACATTATGTTATTGAGTCTCCCTAGTAAAGTCTACGCGTTGGTGATAGATTGGAGGTACCGCGGAATAACCGACTCCAAGATACAAGAAGAGTAGTGTCGCTTCCGGTCCGGTCGAATCACCTCTCACCACAAATTTATGCTGCACGAGATTGTTGAGAAATCGTAAGAGTACGCCCGTCCGGTGTACATGTGCATTGACCTAAAAAAAGCCTATGACCGGATCCCTCGCAACAGTCTGTTGTCATGCCTTCGAATATACAGAATAGATGGCCAGCTGCTAAGGACATCCAATCACCGTATTCTGATAGCAGGTACTGCATCAGGGTAAGTGGCATTAAGTCCAATCGTTTTAACGTAGGCACTGGTCTCCTACAAAGCTGCGTTCTGTCCCCTCTCCTGTTTGTGTTGTACATGAATTGAATAGTCAGGAGTAGCGAGGCGATGAGTGTGTTGGTGTAGATGTGAGGACGAGAAGGTTGCTGTTTGTAGACGACCTTTATTGGCATCTTTTGAAACCAATCTACAATGTTCTCTTGAAAGGTTCGCAGCCGAGTGCAACGTGACCGGCATGTGTGAACGCATCTATAAAGAAAAACCTAGTTCTCGTTCTCCAGCCCGTTGCTTTTTCCAGATTGACGGAGAGGCAGTGGAGCAGGCAGAGAAGTTCAATTACCTCGGAACTGTATTTACTAGTGATGGAAAGTTGGAGGAAGAGACCGACCGGCGAATTGGAGCAGCCAGTGTCATTCTGTTTGAACTAGCCTGAACCACTGTGACTGAAGCAGAGCTGAGTCTGAAGACTAAGCTCTCGGTATTCAAGGCGATCTTTATCTCCGTGCTTATCTTCGGTAATGATTCGTGAATCATGATTGATAAGCTCCGAACCCGGGTACAAGCTGCTGAAATGGGCTTGTTTAAACGAGTCGCTGGCCTTACGCGTCTCGACATGGTCCGGAATGCAGACATCCGGGAGAGCCGCTGTTCCTTCCGATTGAGAAGTTATAGTAACGATTGTTTGGGCACGTGTTGGGAATTCCTCCAGAAAGGAAGGCTATGCAACTGTTTCTTGCCAATCCGACCGTCAAAAGTCCCAGGAGACATTCAAGATTAATCTTGTACAAATATATGGAGTTTGTTCGAAACTGCAGCTGTCCTCTGTTGAAGCTGAGACTGGTACAGGATCTGGAACGTTGGAAGCACTGTCTGACTCGTCTGCCTCAGCGACTCGAAATGAGACGCGGTCAAGGAAGATGATGATGATTATTATTTCTTTTCAGCAACGGCACCTGCGGAAAATAGTGAAAGTGTGACGGTTCCATTGAATAAAGAATGAAAAAATCATGGAGATAAACAGCCTGAGAATGCTGTCTGAAGAAGTCAGTTAGCAGTGTCTTTTTGGTTTAAAAGAGCCATCTGGAAAGAGAATCCAGATATACCGCTGAACGGTTCTGTGAGAAGCAAAAAGTGGCCGCAGGTGCATCGGCAGCTAACATCGCTCCCTGAAACCGCTGCTGGAGGTGGACTTAACTGCGACGAGGTACATGATGTTTGATTCAGCAGCAGCAACCAACAGCGCCTAAATGATTCGGAGAGGCCAAGACGTCAGACATCATTAGCCTCGGCTCTCTGTCCTTGACCCTGATAGCCCAGATGACTAGGACAGCAGCAACTATTTACCACATAGGGTAATCGAATGGCATTGTTCATGATGTTTCATTAATGCATCCATAGTTCTAAATTGCTACTTTTTCTGACTAGTAATTGCTTAGAAAAGTTTATTCCACTGTCCACAGCCGCTTTTCGGCTTCAATTTTATGCATATCAAAGTTGTCACCAATATAGCTTCTTAGTGGATGCTGGTTGCCTCTCAGTTTTGTCACTTCAGCCCTAAACCATGAGACCTACCAAGTCGGTACGTTGCTGGATGTTACTTTTCTTTATCTTCCATGGATACTGATGCGGTGCGGTTCATCGAACAGGTTGATGTCAGTCGTGTAACTGATATTCATTTCTTCGATCAGATTGACGTAACAGGGTTTATCCCATGCTCATGCAAGGCGTTTAACACAACTGTTAGTTCTATTGGATTTAACGATTTCTTGTAG